GTAGCTTAATTAGAGTAACATCAGAGGGTGTCAGAGAGTAGTGACTAGTGTAACATCAGAGGGTAGCATGACTAGAGTAACATCAGAGGGTAGCGACTAGAGTAACATCAGAGGGTAGCGACTAGTGTAGTGTCAGAGAGTAGTGACTAGTGTAACATCAGAGGGTAGCGACTAGAGTAACATCAGAGGGTAGCGACTAGCGTAATGTCAGAGAGTAGTGACTAGCGTAACGTCAGAGGGTAGCGATCAGCGAGGAGAGTAGACTAGAGTAACATCAGAGGGTAGCTAATTAGCCGCAATGTCAGAGAGTAGCTGACTAGCGTAACGTCAGAGAGTAGTGACTAGCGTAATGTCAGAGAGTACTGACTAGAGTAACATCAGAGGGTAGCGACTAGCGTAATGTCAGAGAGTAGCGACTAGCGTAATGTCAGAGAGCAGTGACTAGCGTAACATCAGAGAGTACTGACTTGAGTAACATCAGAGGGTAGCGACTAGAGTAACATCAGAGGGTAGCGACTAGCGTAGTGTCAGAGAGTAGTGACTAGTGTAACATCAGAGGGTAGCGACTAGCGTAATGTCAGAGAGTAGCGACTAGCGTAACATCAGAGGTTAGCGACTAGCGTAGTGTCAGAGAATAGTGACTAGCGCAATGTCAGAGAGTAGCAACTCACGTAACATCAGAGGGTAGAGACTAGCGTAGTGTCAGAGAGTAGTGACTAGCGCAATGTCAGAGAGTAGCAACTCGCGTAACATCAGAGGGTAGAGACTAGCGTAGTGTCAGAGAGTTGTGACTAGCGCAATGTCAGAGAGTAGCAACTCGCGTAACATGAGAGGGTAGAGACTAGCGTAGTGTCAGAGAGTAGTGACTAGTGTAACATCAGAGAGTAGCGACTAGCGTAACGTCAGAGAGTACTGACTGGCGTCACATCAGAGAGTACTGACTAGAGTAACATCAGAGAGTACTGACTAGTGTAACATCAGAGGGTAGCGACTAGCGTAATGTCAGAGGGTAGTGACTAGCGTCACATCAGAGAGTAGTGACTAGCGTCACATCAGAGAGTACTGACTAGTGTAACATCAGAGGGTGGCGACTAGCGTAATGTTAAATGTAGTGATTAGCGTAATGTCAGAGAGAAATGACTAGCGTAATGTCAGAGGGTAGTGACTAGCGTCACATCAGAGAGTAGTGACTAGCGTAACGTCAGAGGGTAGCGACTATCGTAATGTCAGAGGGTAGCGACTAGCGTAATGTCAGAGGGTAGCGACTAGCGTCACATCAGAGAGTAGTGTCTAGCGTCACATCAGAGAGTAGTGACTAGCGTAACGTCAGAGGGTAGCGACTAGCGTAATGTCAGAGAGTACTGACTGGCGTCACATCAGAGAGTAGTGTCTAGCTTAACGTCAGAGGGTAGCGACTATCGTAACGTCAGAGAGTAGTGACTAGAGTAACATCAGAGGGTAGTCACTAGCGTAACGTCAGAGAGTAGTGACTAGCGTAACGTCAGAGGGTAGCGACTAGTGTAGTGTCAGAGAGTAGTGACTAGCGTAATGTCAGAGGGTAGCGACTAGTGTAGTGTCAGAGAGTAGTGACTAGCGTAACGTCAGAGAGTACTGACTGGCGTCACATCAGAGAGTAGTGTCTAGAGTAACATCAGAGGGTGTTGACTAGCGTAACATCAGAGGGTGTTGACTAGCGTAACATCAGAGGGTGTTGACTAGCTTAACGTCAGAGGGAAGCGACTAGCTTAACGTCAAATGGTACCGACTAGCGTAATGTTAAATGTAGTGATTAGCGTAATGTCAGAGAGAAATGACTAGCGTAATGTCAGAGGGTAGTGGCTAGCGTAATGTCAGAGACAAGTGACTTGCGTAACGTCAGAGAGTTGTTACTAGCGTAATGTCAGAGAGTAGTGACTAGCGTAACGTCAGAGAGTAGCGACCAGCATGATGTCAGAGAGTAGTATATTATGTTAATATAGTCGATATTTTCATCACATGATAGTATTTTTGAATTTTTGGATAATTCATTTATTTGACAAGGAGATAACAATTTCACTTCAGAGTTTGAAAGTATGCCATAAAAGCAATAAGATATGTACAAAAAATATTTTCATTTTATTTGCTTTTTATGAAAATCATGACATGAACTCTCATTATGCGTCATGTCACAAACTGAAGATTCACCTAGGAATAAACAGGAGTTACTTCCCCTATTAAGTTGGTTTTGACATTAACATTTCACGGCAATGAGACAGAAAAGAGCAATGCTTTGATTAAAAAGTTCGAGAATAGGTAAGAATTGAACAAATCTTTTTTGTCGATTTGGTGCATTGCAACAAGTGTGTCTATTCATTACCGACAAACTGATAATATAAACACAAACACTCTTCTTAAATCATCAAAATTGTGTGCTGTTGTAAATTCAAATGTAATTTAGTTATTTTGCTTGACAACGTCAAAATTGGTGAACAAACAAGAACCACACCATGTTGATTTCCACTAAGATAGACTTAGGACAAGTCAGAACCTATCCTAGTATTTGTCCTGAGTTAGGATATCCTAGCGCTGGGATACTTTTGGAGAATAAGGTAGGACACCTATCGTAGACCCTAGGATCAAAGTTAGGATACCCTAGGGGTAGGATTTTTTCGAGAATAGGGGCCCTGTCTTACTACTTAGGATCTGTCTTAGCTCGGACACTTTCGAGAATAGGCACCCTGGTATTGCAGATTATGTTTCTCACTCAGAGATCCCATATCAGATAAAGGGCTATCAGTTTTTGACAGTGTATATAACATATATAGTTTTTAAATGCCAGGTATTAAAATGGGGACTCAGAGAATTGCCCCATAAGAGACTGAATGACGCCTCATATTTGAGCGGCGCTTTCAAAACAGGAAATGGGGTCAGAGTTTATGTATTTACCAACCCGTAGTCGTACTTATTGCTCTTTCCATACCAAAGTCTCCTAGGACTTAAGTAGTGATAATTAGAGGCTATTATATGGTAGTTTTTCACAGGCTGGTATTTCATGCTTGGGTTGGTGTGATGTATGATATAGAAACGGCCATAAAATATATTTAATGTCATACAGCAAAATATCAAAGTGTGAAAATGTATCGATCAATTACATTGTCATGTGTCTGTCTAGGAGGAAATTTGCACGTGCGATAAGAGAACATAAATATATCGTGACATAATATAATATCACTTTGAGATAATTATAAACAGACCCATATTACAACGCGGGAGGTCAAACGGAGTTACGTCCCCTACCACGCCCTCTCTGCTTGCTTTCCCGCGACAAACCAGATGAAAATGAGAGAGTGAGTGCGTTATGTTTTACGCCGCTTTTAGCAATATTGCAGCAGTAATGGGGCGGGGGACACCAGAAATGGGCTTCACACATTGTATCCACATGTGGGGAATCGAACCCATGTTTTCGGCATGACGAGCGAACGCTTTGACCACTAGGCTACCTCACCGCCCCAGTTGAAAATGATACACATGCATACACTTGCAAATATACATATGGAGCTGAAGGCTTTCCTGTCAAAAACAGACTACTGATTTAAGAGGGAAACGAAGTGTACTCGGAACAAACTGCAAAACGAGAACGTGGTAGGTAAAGATTCATGAATGAAACATTTTACACTTTTGATCATTTTTCATCTTAGAACGCATTCCATACCATCTGCATCAAATGGAGACTATAAGTCAATATTGCAAAAACTAAAATTGTAAGTTTTGGTGGCGTTCCTTCAAACAAATACACACCTCGCCATTCACACCTCGTTAATTGAAACTGGTCAGCTGTACCTCTGTTGCACGTGGCCTGTACTCAATTTCCCTCTGTGGCCTATGAAATCTTTTCGGTAGAATACTTCACATACTGTGTAGACTATTATATGTACTTTTCTTCGTAGCAAAATAAATGAAATTTGTCAATACATTAATGACACACACTTCATTTTGGGTCATATCTTGTCACCTCAAAAGTGATTTATACATTAACTAGCCTATCTTATGAAATCGTTTAAATGTTATAATGACAGTTCCTATTTTATAATATGACAGTGAAGTCAGGGACGTAAAAGCATCAAATCCCCGGCATTAATGAAAAACTCTATTTAAGGTTTATTATAACGTATTATTTTCTCACAAATGGAGAATTTGGAATATATCCTTTAAGCATAACAATATCCAGACGAATCACACATAAAGCTTCACGATCTGTAATAAACTTGTATCATATAACCGCAATGGGAATGGTTGGCTAAAGCCGAGTTATACCCAACTCATGCTGATGAAATAATCAAATTTCTCATAAAACCAACACTTTCCCAACTCTTTGAATTGTGACACGAGCACAAACTGAAATCAATGCAGTGTATCAATAGAAATGTGACGGTACTGCTTCTGAAACTGAGACAAAAAAAAGTTTAATAATGAAGTGTAACAGATATGGCCTACTTAACACAGATTTTAATTTCTTTTCATGCTTTCAAATATGAGTAGACTCTAATAACAGCGCATCAATTGTTAAGCACAGTTTAGAATTCTGTGATTATTTTGTAAATCGTAACCATTATTCCCGTGTGATCCAAATTATGTTTATATTCACATTCTATTGTGGTCTTTTGTACAACCTTTTCTGTTTTGAGAAATAAAGATCGATTCGATATGAATTTGTCGGGAAAAAGATTCCTTGTAAACGTGTACATGTATATGATTATAAAGAGTATGAGAGTACCATCGCCTTGACAGTAACACGACCGTTCACATACTACTACATACACCATTCACAAAATGTACAGGACACAAAACTCCTTTCGACTCAACCCTGATACGGTAGCTTTAATCAGGCGATTGTTATCTGATTGGAGACGTGTTTCGATATACACTTGTGTACCTTGCCCTATGTCAGAGATTCGGTCTCACTCACCTCAATTCGTTCTTTCCAAGCCGGCACTGGCCCTGTAAGGACGTGCGAGGCCAAGATGTGGTTTCTGCTGATTGAACACCTCGTCTTTGTGCTGGGCTCTCCATACTCCTGAGCATCTTCGTCAACAAGGGGACGGAGGAACTGTTGAGAGTTATCCTCCTTGGACTCAAGTCCCTCCCTGGTGTGAGCGGGCTTCTCGTGAACGTCCTCAGGAATGAAGCCACTAACTTCATCAAGCAGGTGAACCTCGGAAGCAAAGATGGCAGCAAACCTATAACAGTAGTCATTCCCGAAAAAGGTTTGTGGCAACAGACACCACGACATTGATACAATATACATTGTTTAGTCGATGTGTATTTCCGTAAATATTGTACAAAATAATTAACATTGCCAGAGTGGTGTTCTGACGCTTGTGACTGTTGGTTTCTTGGTTGAGAAACTGAAATGTATTGGTTGAGAAACTGAGATGTCTTGGTTGAGAAACTGAGATGTCTCTCTGTTTCATGTATCGTCAAGCTATATCTTCACCAACGTTTATCTATTGTTTGACGCAGTATTCCACCTTTATTACCCATGTGGTCAACGTATGGGTAGTTGCATACTAATCTCGTACCTCACACGAGTGTCGTATCGAGTTGACCTGTGTCGTAACGACTTGACCTGAGATTCTAACGATTTGATTTGATAACCGATGACCCCTCAATTAGGTCACATTCTGACGTAACTATTTTTTAATTCATAACAAACACGTGAATTCATTCATTCTACAACTTAAATGCATTGTGGGAATGTAAACATCGCGAACGTTGCCGTGTCGCTGTTTAATTGTGAGTCGAACTGAGACATTATATCCGTCGAAAAACGTAAACGCAATGTTTCCACCAGTGATGTTAGCCGAATGTAGCAACTGCGAAACCAAGAAACAGGGTGCTACGGCGTAGTTTACTGTAGGAGGCTGTACGAGGCGATGGCAACTGACATGAATCGTGACGTCGGTTACCAAGGCAGTGACGTCATTACAGTGTGACGTCATGCAAATATTGTACTACAGTACAAAACTCTTCCGCAACCTCTTTATGAAACCGGTTTCGGTTTGAAACCAAAATATTAACAAAAATACACTATTTTGTCAATATAATGCATGTAAGACGTGGGTAATAAATTAAATACCACACTCGGTCTCATTACATACGAATTATACGAAACTCGTGACTTTCCTATGTTATCTGACCTCGCTTTCGCTCGGTCAGATACCATAGGAAGGACACTCGTTTCGTATAATTCGTTAAACCCAACTCACTCACTGCATCTACTAGTACATTGCAGTGTAGGTGAGATTTAGTATATAAATGTTGATAAAGCTTTGTACAGGTATTAATTTTAAGAGATTTTTGAATAAATGGTGACACGCTTGTGTCCAGGTATTAGAGTTGGGGAGATTTATTGCATTAATGATGATACCACTGTGTACAGGTATTAATTTTGGAAACTGGCTTGCATTGATTGTGATACACATGTGCCCAGGTATTAATGTTTAGGAGATCTATTGTATCAATGGTGATACGCATGTGTCCAGATATTAATGTTTAGGAGATCTATTGTATCGATGGTGATGCACATGTGTGCAGGTATTAATGTTTAGGAAATCTATTGTATCGATGGTGATACACATGTGCCCAGGTATTAATGTTTAGGAGATATATTGTATCGATGGTGACACACATGTGCCCAGGTATTAATGTTTAGGAGATATATTGTATCGATGGTGATACACATGTGCCCAGGTATTAATGTTTAGGAGATATATTGTATCAATGATGATACGCATGTGTCCAGATATTAACGTTCAGGAGATCTATTGTATCAGCGGTGATACACATGTGCCCAGGTATTAATGTTTAGGAGATATATTGTATCGATGGTGATACACATGTGTCCAGGTATTAATGTTTAGGAAATCTATTGTATCGATGGTGATACACATGTGTCCAGGTATTAATGTTTAGGAGATCTATTGTATCGATGGTGATACACATGTGTCCAGGTATTAATGTTTAGGAGAACTCTTGTATCAATGGTGATACGCATGTGTCCAGATATTAATGTTTAGGAGATCTATTGTATCAGCGGTGATACACATGTGCCCAGGTATTAATGTTTAGGAGATATATTGTATCGATGGTGATACACATGTGTCCAGGTATTAATGTTTAGGAAATCTATTGTATCGATGGTGATACACATGTGTCCAGGTATTAATGTTTAGGAGATCTATTGTATCGATGGTGATACACATGTGTCCAGGTATTAATGCTCAGGAGAACTCTTGTATCGATGGTCATGCACATGTGTCCAGGTATTAATGCTCAGGAGAACTCTTGTATCGATGGTGATGCACATGTGTCCAGGTATTAATGTTCAGGTATTAATACATCTGTCCAGGTATTAATGTTCAGGAGAACTCTTGTATCGATGGTGATGCACATGTGTCCAGGTATTAATGTTTGGGGATATTTGTTGTATTAATGGTGACGCACCTGTGTCCAGGTATCGAGCCGAAAGAGTTGCTGAAGGAGATGGAGGAGATGAGGAAAGCAGAGGTCAACCACATTGACGGCAAGATCTTCGCCTACACCTACACCTTGGAGGACGACCACCTCGAGATGCAGAAAGACTGCTTCAAACTCTTCCAGGGTTAGTTTCGTAACTCTTTGTCGTTTTCCATGTAAAGAAGGGGATGGAATCACGTGGCGCAGGCACGCCCGCACATGTTCCCTCCATGCTGACCGAGAGCGGAAGGTCGCGGGTTGGATCCCCGCCCGCGTCATACCAAAAGACGTTAAAATATGGTACTTGTTGGTCCTTGCCTGGCACTCGGCGTTAATGGGTACAACTAGGACTGGTCGGCTCGAAATCAGTACAATGTGTCTGAGTTGGGTATTCATGCTTCACTGCGGCATGGTAGTGAGCTAGCACTATAAAACCAGCTTAGGTCTGAGCTAGTACAAGCAGCCGCACATACACGCATGCACGTCGTCATATTATTCTTTAATATTCTAAAGTACGACGTTAAACCCCATTTCACCTCACCTCACCTATGCTGACCAGTCCTTGTCCTATTTTCTTAATGCTGAGCGCCAGGCAGGTTAACAACAAGTACCATTAGTTGACGTCTTTTGATATCACACAGACGGGGAGTCGGCCTTCGGGTCGAAATAGGTGCTCTATCCACCCAACCATGGAGTTTTATGAGATGGTAAATCTTCCCTCTATATAGAGCTCATCTATACACAATATGAATCAATATAGTCTATGAATGTTTTCTTGCAGAGAAGATCGGATATTCAGTAGACCATGATGAACTGGTGAAACAGTTCCAGATGGCTTTTCTACACGAGAATGCTCTCAACCCCATGTTGTACCCAAGTCTCAGGTAACCACCTACAAACATCCCGATACCCAATATTCTACCTGAGTCTAAGGTAACCCCCCACATACATCACTAAACCCCATGTTGTACACGAGTTTCAGGTAACCTCCTACAGACATCACTCAACCACATCTTGTACTCGGGTCTCAGGTAACCTCCTACAGACATATCTAAACCCCATGTTGTACTCGAGTCTCAGGTAACCTCTTACAGACATCACTAAACCCCATGTTGTACTCGAGTCTCAGGTAACTTCCTACTGACATCACTAAACCCCTTGTTGTACTCGAGCCTCAGGTAACCTCCTACAGACATCACTAAATCCATGTTGTACTCGAGTCTCAGGTAACCTCCTACAGACATCAATAAACCCCTTGTTGTAGCTATATCTCAGGTAACCTCCTACAAACATCACTAAACCCCATGTTGTACCCGAGTCTCAGGTAACATATATACTGACACCCCCTACCGACGTCACTGCAAAACACCCCCCCACTCCCTGCATACCTTACAACACTCCATACTGTACCTGAGTTCTAGGTAAACCACCCTATAGATATCACTGCACACACACCCCACCCTGCATACCTTACAACACTCCATACTGTACCTGAGTGCCAGGTAATCTCTGTACTCACCTCACCCTCACACATCTTTAAAGCCCTCCTACAACTCTACCCGTGAGACAACAATTGACATAGTGTTGCCGGTTGGCTGGGAAACGTCATTATCAACTATCATTTCCTTCCTATGCGACAAATACATTTATGAAATGGCGTAAGAAACAATTCTATTTTCTACATTTAATAATGACGTATACTGAAGCAAACATTGCCACTAGTGAGTGAGTGAGTATGGCTTAACGCCGCTTTTAGCAATATTCCAGCAATATCACCGCGGGGGACACCAGAAATGGGCTGCACACATTGTATCCATGTGGGAAATCGAACCCGGGTCTACGGCGTGATGAGCAAACGCTGTAACCACTAGGCTACCCCACCACCCCCTACTCGATATTAGATACTACAAAAAGAAAGAAACATCAGATGCGTTACTTCACAAAACATACCCATAGAAGAAAGTATGTTGCTCGTGGACAAATCTGGTTTGTAGACGTAATGACCGTATACTAAAACGGTATTAGGTATTGAAGTGAGCTTGAAGCACCCTCCGCAGTCAACAGAAGCACAATGGCCATCTTTATTGGAGCTTGTTCAGTTCCGCGTATGCCCCCATCTCGCATTCACAACAGCAAGGCAACGTTGTCTCATTGACTGCCTAACACCCGTTCTAGTCACGTGACCCCACACACGGGCAAGGTCCGGCTTTGTTCACCACAGCTGAAAAGGGCGGACGCGTCAGGTTAGACCTGGTCAATATGGAGCCGTGAAGATCCGGGTATATTGGTCTTCAGTAACCCATGCTTGTCGTAAGAGGCGATAAACAGGATCGGGTGGTCAGGCTCGCTGACTTGGTTGACACATGTTATCGTATCCCAATTGCGTAGATCGATGCTCATGATGTTGATCACTGGATTGTCTGATCCAAACTTGAATATTTACAGGCTGCCGCCATATACCTGGAATACTGCTGAGTGCGGCGTAAAACAACAACTAACCAACCAACCTGGGTGCGGTTGTACAAAACAACCTTAGCACTAAGACTACCTTAAGTCTATAATAATATATGGGAGTTACGGTCAGCTTAGCGCTAAGACTACCTTAAGTCTATAATAAGATATGGGAGTTACGGTCAGCTTCGCGCTAAGACTACCTTAAGTCTATAATAAGGTATGGGAGTTACGGTCACCTTAGCGCTAAGACTACCTTAAGTCTATGATAAGGTATGGGAGTTACGGTCACCTTAGCGCTAAGACTACCTTAAGTCTATAATAAGGTATGGGAGTTACGGTCACCTTAGCGCTAAGACTACCTTAAGTCTATAATAAGGTATGGCAGTTACGGTCACCTTAGCGCTGAGATCGCTTTGTACAACGGCACCCTGGTCATTATGGTACCTACCTTGCACAACTTATTTTCAATATAAGGTAGTGTGAATTTCTTTCGTTGTTTTGTTCAGTTATTATATCTATAATAGCAGATACAACCATGATGAAAACGAATACTTACCCATTGTAGAAAGATGGAAACGGAAATTGTTAGCATGACGGCGAACATGTTGAACGGTGACAAAGAAACAGCAGGCTTCCTGACTTCCGGCGGAACTGAAAGTGTCCTGATGGCGGTGAAGACCTACCGGGACAGGGCACAAAAGCTCTTCCCAACCATCAAGAACCCTGAGATTGTAGGTTCCGTTGGCAGAATGACGACAATTGAAAGTAAACAACATGGGGGTCTGGCTTTGCAAATAAAACCAATCGTTTCTGATTGAGCTGTGTGACACCCAATAGGGATATCCGTTAATTCTTGGATCAAATATTGGAAATGTAGAACACAGGTACCGCTTGTGTCGATGGGTACGACGTCTATGTATTACATTATAAGGTCATTTGAAACCTTTCTAGACACAAAAGTGACCAAATAGTTGGGTCTGAAGGAATACTGTTTTTACATAATGTAGAGTTAGCACAAATCAAACATGATATTTAGTTCAATTGCCAGGTGTTTTTGCACGTTAAGACCCACAAAGGTAATGCTGAGCATGGAGACATCGGTGCTCAAAGGCTGACGAAATGGTTCTCCAGATTTACCACTGATGACTCGCATACTTCTGATGTTTATATCGCTCTGATTACACACAAAGTGCTCTGTTTCAGATAGCGCCGACAACTATCCACCCTGTGATGGACAAAGCTGCGGCCTACTTCGGTCTGAGGGTCATACATGTGCCGGTCGACAGTGACCTCAGAGCTGACGTTGAAGCTATGGAGAAGGTTGGTATAGATGAGTTCATCCTTGTCAAATACCAGGACGGAAATTGGTGATAATCAAACCAACTAAGTGACCGACCATTAGAAACTACATACTGGAAACAATTACATTTCAGGGCACTCAGTAAGTCCTTGGAAGCATTTCTGTTTCTTAAACCAGAGAAATTTCTATTTTTTGTGTGAATAAATTGTCAGATATTTTAAAGCAAAGTTCCATTCACACTTTACGCGTCGTTGGATACCGTGTGACACACCATAATTTTGCATATGCATTGCAGGCTATCACACCAAACACCATCCTTCTGGCTGCCTCTGCACCCCAGTTTTGTCATGGGATCGTCGACCCTATTGAAGAGTTATCCAGCGTTGCTGTAAAGAGAAGCTTACCGCTACACGTTGATGCCTGTTTTGGAGGTTTCATGTTGCCATGGTGAATATACACAGTATTACCGTTTGTAGACGAAACCCGTAATCTGAAGGATAACATATACATATACTTTTCATGTGACCACACTGCTGGCAACCAACACAATTCCTCTTTGTGTTACCGGTATACAGTTATGTATATGATGCAGGAATCGTTAAGGTAAAGCTTAAGAAAAATATACAATTATATAGCTGTTACACGATGTACACTGCAGGCTATATCTGTAGAAATTATGTATTAAACATACACTGTTTTTATGAAAAATATTCAGTTTTCATTTTCTTCATGTATATATTCTAATTTCATTTCGATTCTGCCAATCTCTTGTAGGGTCGAGAAACTTGGCTATCCCGTTCCTAAGTGGGACTTCAGGTGCCCAGGTGTGACGTCAATATCAGCAGATGTTCACAAATACGGTTTTACTGTCAAGGTACTAATGCTCTCAACGATTATAGGGGCGGTGGGATAGCCTAGTGGTTAAAGCATTCACTCGTCACACCGAAGACCCGGGTTCGATTCCCGACATGGGTATAATGTGCGAAGCCCATTTGTGGTGTTCCCCGCCATGATATTGCTGGGATATTTCTATTAGCGGAGTAAAACTAAACTCACTCACTCAACGATTACAGATTTAATGACCAACTCGATTTGTTCTGCGGGCAGCATGGAAACGATATTATTATATTATTAAGATTTTGAACTCTTTTAAAATGAGATACAAGATCTAATTCTTTTTGTTGTTTATTCTATGTGTCTTCATGTTGCAAAGTCTTCACTTTACAAACGAAAGTTGTTTTAATAATGTATTAACAGTTCTTAATTGCATTTTGTGATCTGGAGTGGTCGAGCGGTGTTAGTTTTGTATCAGAGTTGTTGTCTTCTGCCAGGGGGCGAGCGTAATCGCCTACAGGAACTCCGACCTACGGAAGTATCAGATCTTCACATATGCTGAGTGGCCTGGTGGTCTGTACGGCTCTCCGAGTCTTGCCGGGACCAGGCCTGGTAAGTTGTTTGGCTTAACATGGTTTTGTGCATATAGATCCTAGTCCTGCCCAGAGACCAGATCTTAGTCATCTCGGCTCTAGTTTACCTGGTGGCAAATACGGTGTGGGCCTTTGAGGGCATGGACCGGGTCTTTCATTGCCTACAAATGATGTGTCGTGTGGTTTTAAGCAAACATCGTTGTTTAAACATTTGGGTGAAAATCATCATCATAGTAGTAGTAGTAGTAGTAGTAGTAGTAGTAGTAGTAGTAGTAGTAGTAGTAGATGACTAAATGATACGTCAATTAAAGTGTTTACAAACAATCTTAATATGAACTTGGATACATCTTAAGAGCAGATATTTTACTTGATAAAAGTTGACGGAACTTTGACAAATTCGGCAAGGCACAATAAGGTTCATTTAACAATGATCATAATTCACTACATGAATTAATAAAACTATAGTTAAGTAGGGTCACGTACGTGCTGAAACTTGACACAACTGAAACTTCATCTCAGTTAAGCGGCTCACAGAATCAGTATTGGGGTCGCGCGCCAATCTGAACTACGGTAATCCGATGTTTTCATAGCAATTCGCTTTCGCGGCACTTCTAGCACAACTTTGGTTTTCGCTTTACCTGGAATAGGGAATATTGAAATTTCGCTTTCCCGGGCCGACACCATAGTAATAACCAACGCAAATACACAAAGCCTCATGTTTACTTTGAAAGTTCAGTGTATACATTGCATGTAAGCCTATTGCCAGCCCTTCCTATGTCTCACTACAGGTGGCAACATAGCGGCGGCCTGGGCCTCTATGAAGGGGTTGGGAGTTGAAGGATACCTGGAGAAGGCTAAAGAACTGATGGAACTTACAGAGAAAATGAAGGAAGGCGTCAGAAAGACAGATGTAAGGATAACACTACTCTGTTAGACAATTAGAGAAATAGGGATCTACAAAATGAATGATGAACCACTGAAATGAGATACGAGAGGATGCAGAAAGTTTTCAGTATGTTGCGCATTTCAACAGGATCTAGGCTGTTGTGATGGGCTTCTGGTTAACGTGATAACAGATTCGAATATCCACCATAGTAGAATGTGTGACTCCTTTGCTTTATGTTCTCCCAGACCTCTGGGAGAATTGCTAAAGCCTTCATATTAAGAGAGCATCAGGATTTCAATGCTATATATACGTGTGTGAGTGGTGTGACACTCCTTTTGTGAGTGAGTGAGTTTAGTTTTACACCGCTCTAAGCAATATTCCAGCTACATGGACCAGACAATCCAGTAATCAAGAGCAAGGGCATCGATCTACGCAATTGTGAAACGATGACATGTGTCAACCAAGTCAGCGAACCTGACCACCCGATCCCGTTAGTCACCTCTGACGACAAGCATTGTTTACTGAGCATGGGCCCCACACGTAGTACACGTTGGGAAAAACGAAGGTTGTGTTTAATTTTGCGATAAACAACACCTGTGTGAACTTTAAGATGAAGGCACAGGTCGAACCGGTACAGGAGACATTAGTTTAGTGTTTGTCACATTGATTTTCAGTTGAAACTATCCCACGTTAACGATATTATATCTAGAAAATGAACTGTACTGCAGCTTAATCGGCTTTTACATGGATGTGTTAGTTCAAAACGTAAGCCGATTATAATCTTTTAAAATTGTGACTCGCAGTATACACTACTGCTCTTAGACAAGTTATCTTAAAAAAACAATAAATCTAATTCTTTCGGAACACGTTTACATTAATTTATCAACTAGACAGGGCACCGGTTATTGCAATTTCATTTTTGTCTCAGTTATCATGGAACCAATAATATTATACTCAGAATTACCCAGCCACAGCTTACCTGTTACAAGCCGCTGCAGGATCATATGATGGTTTAACATGTGTTCTCATAATAACCAGACTCGGGTATTAACAGGCCGTCGTCATATAGCTGGCTACCCTTCAAGATCCAGGTTAGAATTGGTCTTCAGCATCCCCTGCTGATCGTAGGAGGCAACAAACGGGATCGGGTGGTCAAGATCGGGTGGTCAAACTCGCTGACTTTGTTGATGCACGTCATTGCGGAGTTCCAGCCTAATGGTTAAAGCATCCGCTCGCCACGCTGAAGACCCGGGTTCGATTTCCATACAACGCGTGTGGCCCATTTCTGGTGTCCCCCGCCGTGATATTGATGGAATATTGGTAAAAGCGGCGTAAAACCATACTAAGTCACTCTACATGTCCAGTGATATAGAAGATGTTGTGCAGTGCCGTGGGTATTGAACCACATTTGATCTGTTTGTTGTGTCGCTCCTCTCATGTGAGCAATATGACGGCGCTAACTGACATCATGAACATTGAGCCATGTAGTGGGTACAAGGATAGTCATGAATCGTGTTACAATTGAGCACACAACTGAGTACGTCGCCACTTGCAAGCACAGGCTGTTGTGGGCATATGCATGGAACATGTTTTCTCTTGATATACGCACAATATGGCTGAAATAATGCCCATGTGACTATAAATCTCAACTCTTGATGTAAGCATGTGGTCTGGAGACAAAACAGTTGGAACGTAGATCGCGTAGACGCACCATGCTTCGCGGCTCACCGAGAAGCATGACTTTTCACGTGCCGTCAGACCATGTACTCTTGACCACGTGGGAAACGGTCGAATCGGTCAGTTGTGTACAGGTTATGCTTGGGTTAAGACGTAATTGAGTTTATACGTCAGTTGAGTTCAGGTTTCCCTTGAGTTCGGTTGTTTCTTGAGTTGGGTGACAGCTCGTCAAAATAGGATTTAGATAGACTGATATAAAGAATGTATTAGCGCATCGAAATAGAAGTTCCATATAGCTAGCTGCTATAGAGCTAGATAATGTAGATAGTAGACTTACGCTGCAATAGAGCTAGATAGTGTAGATAATAGAATTTAAGGTATCACATTTAGTTTCTTGCCTCATTAGCATTTGTTATAAGAGATTCACGTTTAGTTCCCCAATTGTATTGTTTGAATTATTTCATCAGTTTAATCAAGAGAGTCACGTTTAGTTCCCCAAATAGCATATTTTGATACTTTAATTTTAGTTAGTTTAGTTTTCAATTCCACTGCGCAACAACATGAATCATGTATGCCGCCCACCTGTACAATTTGTCTAAGGTATTCGTTTGCAACATGTAGGGTATCTGCATCATGGGAAACCCCGTTATGACTTGCTTCGCTGTTGGTTCCGCTGACGATCAAGTGGACATTTTGGCTGTAGCCGACGCTATGGAGACGAGAGGTGAGTGAGTGAGAGGGTGGTTGGGTTTGAGTAGTTGAGTGAGTGAGTGAGAGTGAGGGTGGGTTGGTGGGTTTGAGCGAGTGAGGGTGGGTGCGTGTGTGGTTTTGGGTGGTTGAGTGAGTAGCTGAGTGAATGCTTTAAGCAATATCACGGCTGGAAGGAAGCCTGAATTGTATGAAGGACACGGATTATCCGTTTGTATCGATATATTATATGCAGCGATAGATAAGACAAAGAAATCGACTGTATGTGCCTCTACCACTGCCGTCAACCAACAGGTTGGAAAATCGAGAGAACTCAGAAGCCCAACAGTTTCCACTGCTCTATCCTGCCACATCACAAGTATTCGGCTGATGCATTCACAGTCGACCTGGATTCTTCAGTGAAGGAATGCCGGGTAGGGACACCGTTTTATTTTGGAAATGTATGAGTGTTCGCAGTAAACACATTTTGCTATAGGGCCTGTAAGTCTTGTGAGGGGCTACTTCCGGTACTAAGCTAGTTCCTGACATGGTTCCAACTTGCGATATGCTAGACGGACCCCAGCTTACTTCCGGTACCAGATTTCCGTCGACAAGCATATATTCCAGAACCAGTTCTGGTTCCAAATTGCGCCACCACAAAATATGGCTTTACTAGACTGAACCAAGTGTACAACCATGCTTGGCTGCCACAGCTGTTGACAGTCGTAATAGTTGGAAAATTGGGGATGGTTAGATCGGAACTTTGTTATTCATCGGTTCCTTAATGTCAACTGACAACCATGAGACCATTCGAAAAGGTATGAAACGTGTGTGTCACCGGAAGCACTAAGTTCTCGCGAAGTGCCGTGACCTACTTCCGGGTCCTATTCAATGGCTGTACAAATGCCTTCAACCTTCACTTGACAAAATTGTGTGTTCAAACTGGAATATACTTGTTGTACAATCGCTTTGTATTTGTAATGTTATAAATATACAATCGGGCTGGGTTCCGTGTTTGTCAGTGTGACAAATACTAAGATAGCTGCATGTCGTTGTGAGGCAATCTGGTCGTAATTTTAAATTACAACTGATATATAGTAATCTTTAGAAAATCTAAGACATCTGGCGATGGCGTCTCAACAAGCTGACACTGCACGAATTATTCAAAGCGGCACGAAGTGACATTTTGCCAAACCGTATCATAGAAGTGTTTTTACTTTTCACCAGAGACCACAAGGTCAAATGTATTTTAGGTACACTAAGTTGAAATGAATATAATTAAATTCAGCCAATTAAATCACAACTGATTGTAATAACACACTCGCGCGAACAGGCTCGCACACACGAACACAATGTCAATCATTCGATATTTGAATACATAACAGTCTCATTGGTTTTCATAGTCACTTTACATTGACAATTGCACATTAAAGGTCACATAAACCCTAGGGGTACAAATACATAAATCACTAACTGGCATCGTTATAAATGAAACCCCGTCATTAAAACTACTCATTTCGACCTTTAATTGACTTAAATCGACCTTTTTGACAACAGTGCACAATTCTCACCCGCGAACGAAATTTCAACCAATCAGAGCGGCGCGACTCTGTGACGTCATATGAGGAATAGCTGCGAGGGCCGATGCAGAATTCATCTACATTTTAGGGGGTAAATTATCGTGTTTATAGGTTTGTATAAAACTGAAATCATGACAATTGTTGTGGAAAATGAAAGCTATATGTTCTCACAATCTACTGTCATTTAATCTTGTCTCCTGCTTTGCCTAGTTTCCGAGTTACAACTTGTTTTCATAGACGATTCTGTCAAAATCGCTTGGTGTCGTTAGGCCCTATTTGTAAAATGACTGATCCAAATTGATCCTATTTCTGTGTTGTTTTACCTCGATATTTAATCATGTCATGTAAAAATCTGTTTGTATTCTCAAAACAGTGTCGGCCCATAAGTTTTCACATGCAATACAGCAATTAATACTCCCTCGTTGTAACCCGTGTTAGGTGGTATAAACCTACACATGTTATTTGTCATCATTCACTTGCAGATGGTCAGTTAATGAATTTATAACAGGTATAATTAGTGGTAACACACTTAGATTACCCGACAAAGGTTCCCATTTGGCATTTCTTGTGTCTGGAGTAAATATTCAACATTATAAACATCGATCAAAGGATTAACCGATAACACGCTGATTGATTAATTACTTTTATCTTACACAGCGGAATTGTCAAAGGTAGTGTTTATGTATGTAGATTTACTAATCTATACTGAATACACTCTGTCGTGTCGGTGTCTGCGTAAAAACAACGTCCTTCTTTCAAAGGATTAACCGGCAATACATTGATTGATTGCCCATTATTGGCTAACTAAATTACTGTTTTTAAAGAAAGGCGGACATTATGCAATTAGTTGCCAGGTGTGCTATCTTGGGTGACCAATGAGACTATACACCAATACCTGAAAAGATTTATCACTTTTTCGTATATCAAACTGTTAAAAGACACATCATTTGGAACAGTTTTGTGGATATTGATGGATACATTCCTCAAACAAGGTAATAGCCTGATATTGTTCCTATAACTTAAATCTGTTTTAATTTTAATATTTGCATTTTGTTTTTTATTCATTTGTCGTAACAGAATCATTGTTTTCGCCGTGAAGTGTAATGAGACAGACAACATACACTAGGGTGTGTGTGCGAATTATCATTCACATTGGCAAACTATAAAATGTCTAGATATTACAGTTCTGTTATAAATTCACTATAAGTATCAGCAGATCGTCAGCTTTTTATTTAGTTTCAAAATGCATAAAAGTGTGATAATAAACTAATTAGGATTATAAGACCAAATATAAAGACGCACATTGACTAGTATCTACATACTGGTGAGTGGACATTAACCATGTGAATGTATCAAGAAATTTATCGCGCAGTATTGTGACTTCGACCCCCACCTCGCTTCCGTGGAAGAAATCGTTATGTTATAAGTTGTGTCATGCAAAATCCTTTTGGTTATGATTCCAATACATATTTAACTACGAGTAGAAAGTAGTTTTGATTTTCTAACTTGATGAAAACAAACTATAATCTCATTAATTCTAACAGACTTTACGATTTTCAAAAATGGCGGCGCCCTGTCGCGAACATCCGCCAGTCTGTTGATAAATGGTATTTAGGTTTGTTTTCACCGAGTTACAAAATCAAAACTACTTTCTACTGGTAGTAAAATATGTATTTTATTGATGGCCAATAGGATTTTGCATGACATAGCGTATAACATAACAATTTCTCTCGTGGCAGCGAGGTGGGTGTCAATATAATACTACTTACAATATTATTGTTACTTCGACCACAACCTCACTTCCGAGGAAGAAATCGTTATGTTACAAGTGGTATCATAGAAAATCTTTATGGTCATCAATCATATGCATATTTTACTACAACTAGTAAGTAGTTTTGATTCTTTAACTTCCGTGAAGCGATCTGAACACAAGTAGGATATCGTTTCAGGCTTCCACAACGCTCACTTCGCACTCACAAACATAACCCATTTAGCACGAACTGCGGGGTCCTGTGGAAATCTGTGCATGGGGACACTATCGCCCGACCCCTAGGAGCAATTGACGACAAAGCAACGATTCGGCATGTCGTCGTTCATGTCGAGAAATCATCAAAATGATGAGCATGCTACACATTTTCTATACAACTAACTCAAAATCGTTCCTCATATGACGTCACTGCAGTGCTCTGGCGACAGAGTTACGTAACCTGTCTGTGGTTTCGTTGGCGGGCGAGAGGGAAGCAGACGACTTTTTGGCCACTTTTAATCGCTCGGTATTAATTAACCACAAGTTTTTAAAGAATAGATTTGGTGTTCCGCATAAGACTAACCACAAATCTTTCATATATAATGGTTAAAAGTGTAACAAAAAACAAAGTTTAGTGGTTCTTTAAATACCTTAAAGAAGGCATGATCTATAATTACATGTACATTTAAGGTCCAACGTGGTAGCTAAGTGTGGAATATATAAATACACACAAATACACACAAACACACACACACACACACACATATATATATATATATATATATATATATATATATATATATATATATATATATACTGTTATGGGTGATGAAGCATATTTTGCAAATATAATGTACAGTTTTAGATAGTGATGAGTACAGTTCAGCTAAGAAAGGTTTCATTCAGAATATTGTATTGACTTATTTAACTGAAAAGAACTTAGTAACCTTGGGTAGCATTTCAGACATACAAGTTGAGGAGAAATGTGATAGAACTCAATTAGACATTGAGAGAGAACGAGAGAGACAGTTTGAGTTGGAAAAGCTAAAGGTTAGAACAGGAGGGAGAACGAGAAAGGAGAGAGTATGAGCGAGAAGAGAACGAAAGACAGAGACAGTTTGAGTTGAATAAGTTAGAACTTGAGAGGAGATATGAGTTAAACAGACCTAGATCGCAGCAGCCTGAGGTAGATCTGTCCAAATTCATAAGGTTTGTACCTTGTTTTCTGGAAAATGAAGTGGATACATATTTTGACCATTTTGAGAAAACTGCAACTAACTTGAAATGGCCGAGAGAGTGTTGGACTACTTTATTACAAAGTGTGCTAGTTGGTAGGGCTCATGAGGTGTATGCAGCTTTATCTTTGGCGGATAGCGCAAATTATGACCTGGTTCAGGAACGCATTTTGAAAGCTTATGAGTTGGTACCCGAGGCTTACAGACAAAGGTTCAGGAATTACAGAAAATATGACAATCAAACATATGTTGAGTTTGCTAGGTTCAAAGAGACAGCTTTTGACAGATGGTGTACATCTAAGGAGGTTGTACGTGATTATGACAAACTGAAACAGTTAATCTTTGTTGAGGAGTTTAAAAGGTGTAGTCCTACTGAAGTTAAAGTGTACTTTGATGAACAAAGAGTGAATTCTTTGGCCGAGGCAGCTAGACTGGCAGATGACTATACGCTTACTCATAAAAGTTTGTTTTCACGAAATGCTCAATCTAGAGGTGGTTTCAGCGGAGGTCAGGGCCGTGACAGTACTAACAATACGTCAGGTCGATATAGTTCAATAGCAAACTATCAGTGGCGTGGTAGTGGTCCATCATCCTATGGTCAATCATCCAAGAGTCAATCAAACTACTGTGCTGATGGTAATGATGGACAAGGTCATGGTCAGCCTAAGAACTATTATCAAGATCATAATAAGCAAGGTTATCATGGCAGTGGAAATTCAAATAATAGTTCAGGGTTCCAACAAAACAGGTCCAGTACTTCCACGGGTAGACACTATACAAGTAGTGGTAGCAACAATCACACTTTGTCTAAGAGTCCCCAGGGTCATGGTTGCGCCACAGTGTTTGATAAACCAACACAGGGTTCACTTGCA